GTTTTTTTACACCTTACTAGAGACGAATACACAAAAATCTATATGTTCCTTGTCACTCGCTCTTCAATTATTTCGTTTCAAATCTGTACAATTTTTTTTTTTTTGTTCTCGTCTGCGTCATGATACCCACGTTCACTTTGGAAATACGGCACACACTTATTTACACGACTTTACAAAAAAGAGAGAACGGAAAGCATCCTCGAACTGCAACTGGCAAATCGAATTTTCCCGCGTTTTTGTTTCCCTACTGTAGAGGGCAGCTCTTACGTCGAATAACCATTTATGCCGCGTAAAATAAAGAAACACGACGATGGATTATAGCCGCAAAAAAAACACTATTATTTATCATTCTTTCGAAAATATTTCAATGATCGTGGGACGGACCATCGTCTCGTTTGACCACGACAAAAACGTAAGAAAAAAAAACCCGCCCAACAGATCTATATACAACATTGTACATCGTCACGTAGAAACGAAAGGAATCGTCAGATAAAAACTTTCAAGTCAGCCAAACAAGTTAACGTTACTTACCATACACCAACGGCTGAGCGAATGGAATCCGTTGTTTCCTTTGTTAGGTGACGCTTACGAGTATGACGAATGCGATTCTTCTCGAAATACGGACAGCGTCCCGGAAGTCGAAACGTTATTATCGACCGATTACGACGGAAACGAAACGTAACGAAACGAAAAATTCGCCGCGAAAATAATCATCACCGCACTTCACTCGATCCGAGTTCGAAGATTTTTTTTCTTTAACCGTAACAGTCCTGCCCAATCGCGTAGGCAAGATCACAGAAACGTGTCTAAGGCTCATAGTCACCCACGGCGTAGTATACATTTACATGTCTCTACTTTCGAGTTTCTTATCGCTAAATGCAAGTGGAGTCTGGATGCTGACTGGCAGATTTTCGTGTTTTCTTCGTCTCCTTCGTCGTCAATTCCTGAGAAGGCCTTCGAGGACTACCCAGTGTAACTAAAGCAGACGCTACTGCTAAACCGGCACTTTGACCAGCCGGCGTGTATGGTTCACCGCCAGTAGGCAGTCTGACTAGCAACGACAAGACCGCTGCTCTGTTACCGCAACAGGGCTCCAATGCGATCGGACTAGGGGCATCCTGGAAATATTCGTCAAAATATTGCACAATAATTCACTGAATTTACACTAATTACACGATTTACACTCCCGACCGCGACCGCGTCTCCGTACCTTTTGCGCGTCACTCTCGAATGAGCCCCCGCCCGGAAACGATTTTGCTGCGATACTAGTATCGAATGAACGATCGAGTTTTGAAATCGAACGGGGTACGACCATAACAAAATCCAATATGGCTGACATTTTTAATTAATATGTTTATTTCAATTTCGAATAAAAATTAATAAACTATAATTATAATTAATAAACCAATAATAATATTGATAATCATTGTAATTTAAATAATTATTATTTCGATCGAACGACTACTATAAAGTGACAGTGATAATTGAAGTAAGGTTACGCTTCGAAGTATATGATATTTGAATAATATTAATAATCTTAATATCAAAAAATGCGATACTAACCTTTTTCTTTTTGCGGCAATTAGTTAACTCGGTTTCACTACGTTCCGAGTCCGAATTATCGACGTCTCGCCTTTCGATTTCCACTAAAACTTGGCTAAACGCCCTATTTGCCATTTGCTCCATTTCTACAAAGAGTCTCTGTCTTCTTCTGTACATGTCATATTTTTGCTTAATCTTCCAGAGGACAGCAGCCACCAATAATAGAGCGAGGAAGCACCTGGGTGGTGGCATGTAATCTCTAGTTTACAAGTAAGTACTGCCTGAGGCTTAGGACAACACAAAAGCGTAGAAAAATTTTGGAGAAAAATCAACAAACTATTCTATCGATTATATCACTTGGATCTTTATAATTGATCTACTACACGCGACGGAAACAAAAAAAAATCAACTAATAATTTCTACATTTTCAATTGAAATTGTCATCAAGTTTCAAATACTCACGTGCAAAATGTTATGAAGAACTGCTGCAGGTTAAGTTTGGAATACTGGGAGAAGGAGATTTGAATCCATACCGGTGGCTGAAAGTCGTACACGTATACGTAGAACGTGGTCAAAGTAGTGTTGTCCTCGCTACCCAAACCATAACCATCCTTATCGAAACGATGCTTGTACATGCTGGTCGTGCAATTAACACCACGAAGAAGAGGTATCTCCGGTGTATTCGCCTTTTTAACGGTGATATTCATTTTTGCGAGAACGGAACAGGTAATGGAAAACTCGGCGTCGATATCTGGCTTTGGCGGAGAATTCTTAAAATTAATTGCTCTGTACTGACGATCCTCCTTTTTACTTAAATTGAACGTGAATTGGTAATCGATCGCCAGATCATCTGTAAAATAATTTTTAATTCAACGCGAACACTTAAAAAAGAAAATGAATGCTTCTGAAAGAAAAAACTTACAAAAACATGAGCCTTTATTCGTAGGATCTCCATGGTAGAGACTGGTTACGTCGCATCGTTCACAATGGTCTCCTATAATTCCTTTCGTTGTACAGAAACATTTTCCAGTTTCACTAGTGCATTGCGTGCCTTGGTTATTACAGAAGCAGGCTACAACAACAGGAACATAATTTAACTAATAATTCAATATCAACTAATTATAGATAGATGGTGTGTAATGAATTTACGTTGGCAAGTTGCTCCGTTTAGAGGAGTCCCATAATAGCCAGGAATGCATTTATCGCAGTGAGGCCCATAAGTCAAATTACCACACGGCTGAATACATACGCTGCTGTTTGGAAGACACTTACTGTGGCCGTTGCATTGGCAAGCTAAAATTATAATCCAGGTACCATCAGTACATACGCGTCTTGCATAACACGTTGTAAACATCCTACACAAATGCTGAACAAGAAATTCTATGCAACGATTCACTTACTAGGACATTTGGTAAAGTACCATCGTTCGAACGGGCAAGTGTCCAAGCTTCTACTGCTCGGACCACGGGCTCCACCTGGCAAGCACAGTCCTTTTCCGGTTCCTGAACCATCGTCGCACCATCCGCATCCAGGATCCGAGCGGCAAGCAGAGCAAGATGAGTAAAAGGTACACCATTCCTTTCCTGTTTCCGTGGCACGACATTTCGCATCGCTCGTCGTCCATTCCCGACACTGTCCATAAGGGAAGCTTGCTGGATACGCGTTCTTATCCACGCACTTCTTCTCGTTTTGACACCAAATGCAATCCGATTCTGTACAATTTTTGCAAGAGGTATACTCGACGCACGGACTGCGGCAAGAATCTATGGACAGTCTTTGTGCCTGGATAGTCCCGTTCAGGATAGTCACCTGCTATAAATATTCATCGTTTAATATGATTCTCATACACGGCTGTTCGATTATTCAATTTTCGTTCGCGTACTTACTTCGCGAGCTTTCGAATATGGTTTACACCGGTCAGGTCCATTAGACCAGGACCAGATGCAGCGAGGATTACTGGAACATGCATGGCACGTATGCAATTGCAAACACTCGATGCCGGTATGCGCGTCGCACTGCTCTAAATGGATGAACGTCTTGGTGAAAGGTGCGTTCGCGTTGTCACGGCATATCTCGTGCGAGCAACTTTTTCCACACCATACGCAATTGTAGGAGGTTTGCACGCATGCCACGCAGTCCGTGAGCAGTTTGCACAATTCCTTGTGAGACGTCATTCCTCGCGGTGGCGTGTCGTCCAGGCATCTCATGTAAACCCCGTCGTGCATGTCGTCATTGAGTAGCACGTGTCTCGGTATCTTGCTGATTTGTATGCATCTATTCTCCCGCTTGTCCCATACACATTTCACGCCTATCCTTGCGATTAAACAGTCGAACTGACTCGTCAGATGTTCGCAATTTCCGGGTGTATACCTGATATATTATAAAAAGCAATACAATTTTTCATATTTATTTTTAGCTACCGAACGAAATTGTAAAGAAGATGTACCTAAACATATCGGACAACAGCTGACCATCGAATCCACCGTAGATGTACATCGACTTCTCGAACACAGTCGCGCTGTGCCCGTACCTGGGCAGGTCAGTCATCTCAATGGGCATAGAAAACTGGTGCCAAGAGTCGCAGGTAACATCGTACGCTATGGTATCCGCGGAATAACATCTGGTTCCGTCCGAATGCTGCGTGTCGTTATGCATATTACCACCGAAAACGATCATCAATCCACCAGAGACAAAGACCGCCGTGTGGAAGAACCGTGCGGATGGTGCAGATGTGAGTAACGTCCATTCGTGATGATTCGGATGATAAGAATACAGTCTGTTCGTCAACACTTGCGTGCTCTGCGACTCGGACACGTAACCACCGTACACGTAGATCAGATTGGTCAGGGGATCGTAAGCGGAAGTATGACCGTAACCACCTTTCACGGGGAAGCCAATCGTGTCCACGATCTGCCATTCACGAGTACCCAAGAAGTATTCCTGTACTACGTTCAAGTAACCGTACTGAGGGGAATAACCGAATATCACCACCATTTTCTCCTTTCTTCCGTGGCTCTGCACTAAAGTTGCAGTGTGTCCGGCTACCTGTGTAAATTTATACGTTAAACGAGATACAGTTGAGTAGAAATGGTACGATAAACTCTGGAAATAATAATAATCAGTCACCTTTAGAGGACCGCACATGGTTTTGCTGTTATGGCAGTTATCGTGCACGGTAACGTTCTCCCACACCTTCGCCGACACGTCGAACGCCCAAATCTCGTTGGTAACCGTGGAATTTTGCAGAACTCCGCCGTACATGAATATCTTGTCACCGAATAGAACGCACGAGTGAGCATAACGAGGAAGAGGAACCTTTCCCTCCACGTGAGGTGTTTCCCAAACGTTCCCGTTGTAATCGTAAACGTAGATCATCTTGGCTCGATGGAAGCTCTCACCGCCGACCACGTACAAAGAATCCTTCCAAACGATGGAGCAATGACTTGCCGAACCTTCCGGTGAGAAGTCTGTATACGACACGCTCTCCCAGAATCCACTGTCACTTCTTTGGCTACAGTCTGAACCTGGACAAGTACAGATCTATTACAAACAACTGTAACAACTGGAAGCTCTACCGCAAGATCTACAGACAGGTAAGTAAGGTAGAAAGTTTGTAAGCTTTCGACGCTTACCCTTGAAACCGTGAACGCAGTCACAGTGATGGCTCTCGCGGTTACACTCGCCTTGCCCGTTGCTGTGGGAACAATTGTTCGGGCAAACTTGAATCTCGCATGCCTCGCCTGTCCACGTGGCGTCGCACGTACACACACCGTCGATGCAAACACCATGGCCGGAACAGTCGATAAACGAATACCTGCGGACCACAAAGCATGTACACACGGAAGAGAGATAGGCTGAACAAATCTTTAAGGAGCACGCCGCGCTATCAGCTCGTCTAATCGTAGGATACATAAATACACGCTTATCATATTTGCACAGGGGCAGAATAAATGTTTATTTAATCTTTCAGCAAATACCAGCAGGGGAAGAAATTCGACAAAAATCGTCGGACTGGATTGCGATTGTAGGAACGAATGGCTGATCTTGAGAGTACATTCCTGAACAGGGACAACAGGTTATCAGCGACAGAACATTCCTCTTTCCTAACGCATGAATGTCAACTGAATAAAACGAAGACTAATTGCAAGATAATATGGCGCGAATGGGATCAACGGACACGTTCTAATCGGATAAAAAGCCGATTATTATTTGATCCGTTCGCGGTCGACGATATGTCAAAGTTCATCCAAAACAAATCTGGAACGCGAGATCTATGTATATTAATGAATGCTGCAGATGAAATATCGCAGTTGCTTAATCGCATCAGCTCCAAATATTTACTCGAGTTTGTTTAAGAGATTAGCCGGTAGTCGATGTCAAATTATATATTATATTTCAACATAAGCTGACACATGTTCGTGCATGCTTTTATGCTGCTCACGATCACTACCGGTATTAATATTTTGACGGTCGTATGATTCATAGAACTGTTTAACGCGTACAGTGTACGTAACTCAAATACAATTAGCACGAGTCTTTATGAATAACAAGGGAAGATTAAATATCTCAGAAGCTATAAAAAAAGAATGATTTATTACTCAGAGAAACTACTTAACGAGCAGGGCTCAAAACAATTTAAACTTCAATAATAGAAGAATAATATCGTTTACCAGATACACAAATACAGGAGGTAGATCGTCAAAGCAATCGTAATAATTTCATTATCGTTGTAAAATCAAATTATTGTTTATATAAATGCATCGTATTTCCAGGGGCATAACCAGAGATGTAAAACACACAGATCGTTTACCTGCTCGGGCAGGCGTTGATCTTGTAAGTGATATTGAAACCGCTCATGTTGTAAGCGACATCCGAGTAGAAGTGTAGCAGAGCGCTTCCGGACCGAGCGATCACTTCCGGCTGGCGCATGTGATAGCCACCCTTCTGCATCAAGCCAGAAAATACGGCGAGCAACGGTGCCTCGACGCTGTCACCGTCGTAGATGTACAGATGATCCCAGCCGCATTCTGTCGCGAACTGCTCCACGTGCATACGTATAGTGGAATTCGGGCTGCTCTCGATCAGCCAGGAACACTTCACGTCCGCCGTGTAGTTGCCGATACCGTCGTGGATGTTGCCCGTTGGATCCGTCAGTCTATAACGAGACAAAGAAACTCTATCAATTCTCTAACACCTGAACCATCGGATCACTGATAATGATTGATCGACGACGAAACTGCTAAGCGTCGATAGAGTATTTGTCAAACACTCGACAAATCGAGTTCCATGTTTTCACGATAATTACGAGTCCGACAGAAAAGCTGACGAGCGTGAACTCATTGATCGATTAAAATTTTATGATGGATTTCGATATTAATTTTGCAAAATAGCGTACAGCGTTAAAAGATTAGGAAAAACGACGTTTTATGATCCATTAATACTCAAAGATAATGCTTATCTTAAAAATATGATATTTTCAATCTATGAAAATTAATGTGAATTAATATCCTTGTGATAGAATAACGGTAGCTTTCAAAAGCAAGGCCAAGAGATTTGTCTCCTACCGCATACTTTTCTTTTCCTATCTTATTTTATTTCCAAGCTACGCTCGGCTGTGATTTAAATTTTCTTAAAATAATAGCGAATACTTGAAATGACTTAGCAATAAAGAACGGCGCGGTGTCGTCGCTTATTAAAATTCCTAGCCTCGAAGACTAATTGCATCGAAAGCCAGAAATCATAGTCGACTGCACAATGTTCAAGGTCTCACGGTGCAGTATCGATGTCTCGGTTGTTATCAGCCGGGACAATACAAGATCACGCACGTTGATAAACGCGCACAAAAGAAATAAGAATGCAGTAAAAATTACCTTGCTTATCTTTCGTGCACGTCAATACTTGGCATTGCTTTCCATTTATTTGAATCACAATAGCGTCATTTAAATTGGAAAAACTGTAAACCTCTTTACAAGTGAAAACAATGAGATATTTTATCTTCTTTGATTTCAAAGTAACTCGCAGGAAGATAAGTAAAGCTTATAGAAATGATAGAAGGAAATTATAAAATTACTTAGAAATTTCATTTCTTCTATCTTTATTAATACCATTAACGTAAATGCAGGAGCTGACTCGACCCTCGATTTCGACGTTTCCGGGGTGCCCGATGCCAAGGACGGTGTCTATGCGGATAACAGAAGAGGGAAGCGTTTCGTGGACGTGATAACGATAAAGCCTGGACACAGACGAGCGACCAAAGCGATCGAGCGGAGACGAGCGATAGATAAGCGTCAATCTAAATCACAAAAGCCTGGAGTTTGAACGATACAACATCAAGATGCGTCTACAAAGTGAACCCTTTCGCGCACGAAGCGTATCGTGCATGCATAGAATATTCTTCGTTTAATTTAAACAGCTTAACATAAAGTATTCGCTGAATCTACTTAACTTGCTACGTACTGTAAAACTTCACTTGCAGTATATCAATTTGAAACTTAGTATAATGAAAATGACTGTACGAACGCATCAGACTTTTCATGTTCTCGTTTCATTCGCAGCAACCTGAATTGATCATCCGCAAAGGGTTAACGTCTGAAGAACAATAACAGAAACTAGCACTCCGTTCAGCTAGAGTATTGACGCTGGAAAAAAAAATACGAGCGAACGATGAAAGACACCTGTGCCATTATCGAGCAAACGCATTTATAGGGACGATTGCGTGTCGAAAACGGATGCGTATTGTCGAACAGTGACGTTCGAGGAATAACAATACGTTAACACCGATAATGCAATGGAAAAAAAAAAGGTGGAAAAAGTACAGAGGACATGGGAGAAACCGGGTACAGCGACGATGTAACGAGCAAGCTTCGTTGCGCGTAAATTCTCATCGGTGATTTACGGCACTAACACGTGTCGCGGACAGGATGGCTGACATTAATATTTCAGCGCGAAACATTTTTGCGCCAGGATCACGGAAACGCGCGGAGAACCGTGGTCGAAAACGGATACTGAGCTGGCATTGTTGAAAAGTGCGCAGGGCGAAAGAACGCTCGAATAATCATGAGACAGCCAGGTGATAATCTTAGAAAGCTATATTTCTAGATTTTTAGTATATAAAATAATGGAAATAAAATACAGGTAAATAGAAGTTTCTTAGACAAAGAAAAACATGAGGTATTTTCATAGAACTTTTATTAAATTTTTGTGATACTCTAGAGAGGGTTTCAAATTAACAAGAGAAACTTAACTACAGAACTCTGTGATATTTCTTAAAATAATATTCAATAATGAAGGCACTACGTGACTCATGAGACGAAGAGGTTCGACGACCCTCACTTTTGCTCTCTTCCATGCAAACCATTTTATTAACACTTTCATTACTGCTGATTTAACGTTACATTTTGACACAATTTTTATATTTCTGTTTCAATAATTAATCATTTGTTTCTATTAATAATTGAAAAATCTCGCCGATAACCGTGTCGTTATGAATTTAATTCAATTATTTATCATTTTCTGCGCAGATGAACTGGTGTGCAAAGGACTCGTAATGAAACTCGTGCGAAACTTCTTCATCGTCGACGAGCAAAATGCGACTGTCTGTAAAAACAATTTTCAACGTTAATACGCCGCCGGTTAAGCAAAGGAAATTAAGCGGGAATGTGGTCAACGAGCAAAGAACGGAGCAGTGGATGGATATTTACAATGGAGCATCGGCGTAAACCGTAAAGGAAAGCACTCGAAAAGAGAAAAAGAAGAGGAACGTCGTCGTCTTTGAAGCGCTCTCGAGATTCAGGAGAAAATACAGCTTGATTCTTCAACTTGCACCCTCGAGATTTTTATATACGAAACTCAGAATATAACCGGAACCGTATGCGACATCCTGTAGTAAAGGATGAGCAGTTTATAGTACAAGAATAACTTGAAATATTGGGGTAAGAATTGACAAAGATTTTGGAGATCATTTATTAAGTCATTTTTACTTACATTCATACATTCTACTTTTACACTGTTACAGACTTTATTTGATAAAATATCTATCTGGTTGTTGCATACCAAGATAGCCTGATAGCGATAAAATAAAAGTACTACAAAAGAACACTTACGGTACATCAATTTAAAATTTAATTTTAAACCGAATCTTATCATTTTCACTATTGCGATAATTCATGCACCCTCGTAATCTTCACCTGCTTATCAGTGCGTCTATATAGCCAGATAATTGACTGTGTGGTTGACAATCGATTGAATTCAGGTGCACAATAGGATGTAACCTATGGAGCTGGTGAAACGTGGCACACCAGTTAATGCGATTACGTGTTACGCACACTTAAAAGACGTTTTATTATTCGAGAAGGTTTGCCGGACAGCTGTTAAATCCTTTTTTGAATTTCCGGATTTAATACAGATGATTTCCAGAGGTCATTATTTAAGTATCATTACTTAATTACTTTGCTTACTCTATAAAAGAATTAATGATCACGTTTTGTATTAACGTTAATCACTGATCAATAATTTGATTCAAATTCCTTAAATCTCTGTATCAATACCACACTCTGGCTCGTAAATTGATCATCGAGCAAATAATTCATGTTTATTCGCGCGATCCTTTATCGGGATATTAGCCTAGCCCATTGTTATCGACTAATTAACCGTTCCGGTTAATTACAAAATCTACTTGAACGGGTTTACCGTCGTTCTGAAAATGATACGTATTCACGCGATAGTGAGTACCATAAAATACATCGGGGCAATAAACGCACGGTATTTCTGTCATTTCAAATATTGGCCGGTGCTTCGGACACGCGATCCATTAATTATTGCAAGCGACGTGTTTCCACCGGTGCCAGAAATAGTAGAGAAAATATTAGAAACATCGCATGCTCGCATAAAGCAATCAATCTGTAGAGTACTGTTGATACTATATCAATTATTCGTGCAACAATTTCAATTTAACAAGCATGCTATTGTTACTATTTGAAAATTAGAAATTTTAAATTTCAATGATACTCGTCGAGTTTCAATTTCAGGTTCCGCTAAGAATTTGAAAATTCAATGATCAAAGAGAAGTTGAAAGAACGAACGACAAAGAAAATCACGAAGCATGGAGTTCGGAAAAACGTTGAACGAAATTCCTGTAGTAGGAAGTGCAAGTCGTTCACCGCTCGAAGCACAGGATCTAATTACTCCTGACGGTACAACGAACCTAGTCAAGACACGTCAGACGTCCCTGAACAATTTACACGGTGGAGCTAAACCAAAGGTAGAGAAGACAGAGAGAATACCAAAGATCGCGTGCCGGGTTGGTGCAAAATTCAACGAAAAAAAAGCAGCCGATCGATTAACCCGCCCCTAGTTGGCCGGCCTTAATCGGACGATTTTATGGTTTTGATCGAACAACGGTGGATCCGCAATATTTCTACTTCGAGGAATATTATATAAAGTTTCGGTTTGTTCATAATTCAATGATAGGATAGAAGAGGGATAAAAGCGAGCAAGCAGAGGAAACCGGCACGGTGCCGATGATTGCGCTCTGGCGAGAGTAACGTCGACGGGAAGACGTAAAAGTACTGCAATTTTCGCGTGGAAATTCGCGCGTCGACTTCTGAAGAGAACCGCGTAACTCGTCGGCTTCGCGAAATGATCCCCGGCTGAATTCTACCGGTTCCCGAAGCCGGTTTTTGTCCACGCTGCTCGGTAGCTTCTCGTTAAACGCCGACGATCGAATAACCGTGCGACGATCACGGACAGGTACGAATTTTCTTCATTTCTGACCCTGGAGCTCTTGTAATTTCCTATTAATAGGATAAGGGATGATGATGCAAGAGTTATGTATCGGAGTGACAAATCCGTGTAATATGTTCTGGTAGAATAACCACCTAGAATGATTTTATTTATCTGTACTTATGATTAAAATAATTTCTTTTTTAGGTCGTGCTATTTCACAGTGTTAAGCAAAACTTTTGGGTACCAAATATGTCATAGAGCCTCGAATGGCTCTATAATGATAAGCATATAGCAGAAGGAAGGATGGGTGTTGGTAGAAAAGTCTAGGTGCTCGTCTAGCGAAACCTTTCAGAACAGGGAACGACTTTATGGACCAGGTGACATTTAGAACGCTTTCCAATTTTCCTAGACTACTTTGTCCTGGAGACATGGTGGCAGTGTATCAACGTTGGATAGATCTCTAAGTAGAACTGTTGAAAGTGATCATAGTAACAGTTAACAATGAGAACAACAAAGATTCTTTGAAGGGAAACAAAGAAGAGGAAGGAGGTGCTTTGGTAGGAAGAGGAGTCTCCTGTCATTTTGAGAGTCATACCTCAAACTTCCTATCTTTGTAGATAAAGAAAATGGACAAATAACACGAGTACTAGATTGGACGCGACTGTACATGCGTGTAGATAACGGCTAAGTAGTAAGCAACTGATGATAATGTAGTTCCATTAATTGTGGGAATAATTTCATTTAATGAAACTTTACCAGAAAAACATCCGCGGCATTTTAATTGCGTTCTTGAACATTCAATGCCATTGAAAATTGAAACTGTTGGACGGGTATTCCGTATAAACATTGTTTGTAGTTACATTTACTTTCTCCCCTTTTACATCAAACCAAGGGTCGTTTAACTTGACAAGAATTTATTTGTCTACTTTCAGGGATCGATGGACGTCGATTTTCTTACGTTTACATAATACCAGGAATGAAGCGAAGCGAACGTAATGAAAACGTTGGTCGAACAAGAGTGGCCTGTATTTGCAAACCATTCGCAAGACGTTCCATAAATTTTTGTAACATTCATTAAAGGCATTATTAGCGATTATAGAGGCACTTATGAGTGTCCGTTAATCCAGGATTAAAATGATTCAATTCAACCGAAACGGTAATTAACCCTGAATCACTGTAATTAATCCTGGGATAAGGTGTGCGAGAGTATGGGTTTACGCGTTCATTGGTTATTGATTCGGTTATTCAAACGATACCAAACTACGAGGAGACTAGCGTAAACAGTATTCGTCGCTGAACGATAAGCGGTATAATTGGTAATTAATAAGCAGACTAATGGTGGTTGGTACAACAACGATGAAACATCACCCTTTCGACAATTACCAGCCTGTAACGTAACAATCGTGTGGTCATCTAAAAACCAGAAAATCACCGGCAACATGCAAACCATCAAGTACATGGCATTAAGCGAAATGGAATGATAACTGATAAAACACATTCGAAGAAAATCCCTCCAGTTAGGCGTATCTCGCAATCCACGCTTTGATCGTTTATTAAACCGCTTAATAATACACCTGAGCCGGTTATACAGGTGTTTCTGGTCTCATAATTAGCACACCTCAAACTAGAACAAGTAGGTATAGACTAACGAACCAACGTTCTCGTGTCACTGTTTCCTGGCCATCTTATATAGCTAATGAATTTTGTTTACATTGTAGATGAGCAACGTTACCGGGAGAATAATTTAATCGTGTAACATGGATTTTACTCAGATAAGTAAATTCTACCTTACCTTCTAATCGACCAGAACAGGTTGTAAATCGATAAATTATGGATTTATATAAAAACAAAAATGTCTGCGACTAGTTTTTGTGGGATGCATCTTGAAATCATTCCGTCTCGTTAGTCCCTGACGGACACGGAACCAAGTAAGCAAATGCATATGATTTATTTCAACGTGCACGGATATCTTTTCGTCACAAATAACGCCCCTCTTTTTTCCCGCTGTTTCGTTTCGTGATGGTAACCTCGCGCATTAACGCGGTCCCGGAGGCGCGTTTATTTTCAGCGCCAATTATTCAGGAGTACACGATGAAATTTTGAAAACTGCATCTTCATTGGATTCAAATTAATCTCGTGATTGTAAGATTCTTGGAGGTCGATTGATTAACATCTTGAAAATACCGCTAGACAAATCTAAACTTTCCTTGGGTACAGTTGTGCGGCGAATCTTCGGGATTTAATTTACAGGTATGTTTCTTCGTCAACGTAACAAGTTACAGTGAGTACGTTAATTAATACACATAAAATAAATACAAATACATTTATTAAATTTTATCTTTTCACAGTGACACAAATGAGTAACGTCTAGGAAAATTCGAGAAACAGTATTACATATGAATCATTTTCTCCTTATCTAGTGTAGGAAATATCAAGTACCGCCAATCAAGATATTGTGTCGCAACTGCAAGTAAAAAAAGGAGCATAGTACATGGATATGCATAAATTGATGCGTGAAATGAAGAAACCGTACAGTGAGAGGCAAAAGTAAGTAGACGCTGTACAAAATAGAATACCTCGGTTAAAATTCGACTAAATAACTTGAGGTTTTTCGAGTACACGTATATTAAACGCATCCATAGCTGTCGTTTCAACAGAAACGCTAAACAACCGCTGGGACGATCGCGACGCTGAACGTTTCCCGATCGTATCTCGTGCAGAGAATCGAATTTCAAAACGACGGAGACAGTTCGTAACACAACGTTCGCGGTCAGATTTCACCGCAATTGCTCAACGAGCAACGCGGACGCCGACTAATGCCTACGCGGCGTTTAGAATAAATATTGCACAAGGATAGCATAATTCGATTATTTTCAAAGTGAACAAGAGACGAGCGCGTTCGTTAGCGACGACAGTGATTCAAAGCGCGGGTGAAAAGCAAAGCGAAGCACCCTTGACAGTGGCAGGAAACCGTAGTTTCCCTGTCAAGTTTAAAGCCGTCGATCGATCGACGACGTAAAATCTAATCCCCCCTCGACTCGTAGGTACGAAACGAGTAGCCAGACAACCCCCCCCGACCAATTTCCGCGGTCACTGTCCCGTTAGGATTCGCCCAGTGTCCCGATTACTCTTCACTGTCAACCGGGACCCGCGACAGACAACGACCGAAACTGTTCCCCACCCCCCACTCCAATGGTCCATCGGACGCGCACAGGAGCGCAATTAGATCCCGAGAAATCCGCGCGTAAGCGCGCGTTCACGCTTTCCCGTTTTATTTACGCGCCTCCGGAAGCGGACCTTTCTTCCACTGAGAAACTCTTACCAGCGATCCAGTCGACCTAGAAAAGCATCGATATACCGTTCCACACGCTAGACAGAAATGTACAGTTAACCGTGTCTAACCGTATAGACGCGTACCAGAATTTCCTCGGGCTTTCTCTCCGTCGTTTTATACGTATACGGATGATTCCCGGTAAAGAAGTAAGTAGAATAGAGGCAGAGGCACACAAGGCTTGATTGCTTGCGCGTTCTCGCTCACCTGACTTTTCCGGCGCAGAATTGGCACACCGAGCCCTGCCAACCCTCGTGGCACACGCAGGTGCCATTGACACAGTCACCGTTGACGCAACTGTCCGTGTCGCAGGTCGTATTCGTCGTTAGAGACGACGAAGAGGTGGAGGCTGCCGCTGTTACGTGCACCACCCAACAGATCAGCGCCGCCCACAGTATCGGCCACGGCACTGCAATTACACCGCACTGATCGCGTACCACCTCGCGGCACTGCCCTTTCCGACGGTACTTCGATTTATATAGGAACAAAAACATCTGCACGACCTCTGCCATTTTGATGGGCTTCCATGTCAGAGACAATGGCCGACGGCGATGCACCGAACGAAATACATATGGGCACTTGTGTCTCGCGTTTTCGATGCAACTCGTTAACTCGCTGCGCGATGCCGTAGTCGAGAGTGTGCGGTCGCCACCGCGCGGCTCCCACGGTGTCGCAACCACGAATTATATTATCCAACGGGGTTATATGTAGAGTGTTCATCGAGTGCTTGTCTCTGCGATTACTTAGTACCCGAAACGGTACCAAGTACCGTTCAGGTGGCGCTCCTATCGGCTCTACCGATTGGTTTAGTAAATCCGCGTCATTTAAAATCTTGCTACGAATATAATCATACGTCAGACTTTTAATACAGATTGAAAGTATAAAATATCGCGTTGCAAGACTTAACGTATAAATAATTAGTAAAATATTTCCCTTTAAAGCTTATTTGATTTTATTTTTGAAAAATATCATTGGTAGGTAAATGCGTTAACTCTTTAACTTCCTCATTTGTCGCTTGACGCTAGGTCGCTGGTTCCCCACCATTTTCTTGAACATTTCACGGAACATCATCGAAGTGGATCGTTTATAGAAATTGTGTTATGCGTGAATGGTGTAACGACTACAATCGACAGTGACCAATGCAAGTTCGCCCGGTAAAGTTGCTCTTTTGTTACAGTCAGAAACGGTTCAAACTTGCGTAACTATCAGTCTATGATTTATCCAGAATTTTTGCACTCGATCATGTGGATTTGCACTCCACGTATACAACGCGATACGCGAACTAATTAGTCGACATATGTTCGCTAAATCACTGCCGAAGAATCGTTGAAAGTTTATAGTAAGTTGATATAGAAATGAAAAATTTGAACGCCATGTTGTATATGTGTCACCAGTTACCATTTTGTCCGCATCCTTGAATAATTAAGTTTAAACTTGAAGTATCTTAAACTTTTCCTTAAATTTAAGGTTTTGATTGTTAACAAAATATCTTATATATTATTTATCCAATGTAAATGTCCTGTTTTAAACTAGGCATAATCAGATAGCCCTGCCTGTTTCAATCCCATCCTTGAATTCCTGCATCCTTTAGGCGGCAAATTTCATCCCAAGAACCGAAACGAATTTGAAATCTTGTTAAAAAATGGCAGGAAAAAAGAAAGGGAAAGGAAAGAAGAGGAAGCGCGTTAACGAATTAGAACTTCGTCGAGAGTTGAGGAAGCGGGGACGCGACGGTTCTGATTGGGACGAAGAGGAAATGCCTCAAGAGAAGGTGGATCTTTCGCAATATGCCGAGCAGATTAGAATTGGCGGCATCGAGGGGTGAGGAATTAATTTAAAACGAAAAGAATTAGCGGAAGTACATTTATCATCGGCGTTTATTAAAATTGTTCTTTCGTCAACAAAGAATTTTTATCACTTTGCACTGAGAGATTTCCACGAAAGACGTACTGATAAATACTAACCTACACTTTGTTATCAGCGGATGTGGATTTGCCATTGAACCTATAACGCTATAATTGATTCCGCACTCACTTCACCCGAGCGTGTTATCAGGGGAAGAATAAATATATAAATCTACACAAATTATGTTGTATTTGATTTATATTAATGTAAAAATACGTAAGGAGAGTAACTGTTATATATATTTCTCGAAAACTAACCAATTTGCTATGTACGCATGCGCGTGCAATTTGATTCGACGCGCTTTTGCGATCTAGTTTGAACGTGTACAAAAGGAAGGCAATTTATAATCTACTTCAACTATAATTACCTTAATTGATTCTAACAGGCTATACATGCTTTCTGCTTTTAACTTTTATACATGGTTTCATCTGTTCGTGATCACTTCATACCATCAAAATAATGATGGTTTCGAACAGTTGAAAATTCTATCAAAAAATAAATTTTTTAATCATTTTCAGCGGCGGAACGTATTCCACGCTTATCATCATCGATGGCAAAGGAGTACCATTGACGGAGGTCAAAGGACCAAACACCAATCACTGGGTAATATCCTAATGGAACACATCAGTTAAGTATTTTCATTTTTTTTTCATCTGAATAAACTTTTATTCAGATCCTTGGAATGGAAGAGACCGCCGCCAGGATCAATGCAATGGTGGAGAAAGGAAAACAAGCTTTGGAAATACCTGAAACAGTTCCCTTAAATTGTTTGGTAAATGTTATATTAGTTATTTTAATTCAATGAATCTATTCCAGTAATTAATTTTCTTCGTGACCAGGGTCTTAGTCTAAGCGGATGCGAGGAGGAGAACACGAACCGTTTGCTCATAGAAACCATGAAAAAAACGTACCCAAACGCTGCTACAGCTTATCAAATCAGTTCAGATACTTTAGGTAGCCTTAGGACTGGTTTACCAGATGGTGGAATTGTTCTAATCGCTGGGACAGGTAGCAACGCTTTAATGACTACTCCTGATGGTAAAACTGTTGGATGCGGTGGATGGGGACATATGATGGGAGATGAAGGCAGCGGTGGGTGACAATTGATCGGCTGCAACAAAAATCATATAATTGATTAGTTGAATCGAATGACATGATAATTTCTAGCTTATTGGATCGCCCATCGCGCGTGTAAGTACGTGTTCGATGATGTCGATGGTCTGAATCCAGCCCCAAAACCTGTCAGCTACGTGTGGCCTGCGATGAGGGGCTATTTTAATGCACCACTGATGAAGGATATGTTGCCGCACATATATACAGATTTCGATAAAAGCATGTTCGCCAACTTTACCAAAGAGCTTGTGATCGGCTGTGAAAAAGGAGATCCTCTTTGTTTGTATATTTTCCAAGAAAATGGGAAGTTTCTTGCGAAACACATTGTGGCTCTTTCAAGAAAAGCTCATCCTGTAAATTGACATTTTTCACTTGGCAAATTGAAGTAAAAGTTTGGATACTAAATTGTTGATCTTTTTCCAGGATCTTAAGTTAGATAAAGGAGGACTGAAAGTTGTCTGCGTAGGATCGGTTTGGAAGTCGTGGGAATTCATGAAGAACGGCTTTGTGGACGAAATTCACGAGTCAGGTACAGTGGATGAATTGAGTTTACTTCGTTTAACAGCATCGGCAGCGTTAGGCGCTTGTTACCTTGCTGCGGAAAAAATCGACTGGCTATTCACGAAATCGTATGAGAAAAACATTGAAACGTTCTACCATTATAAACGATTAAATTATGTGAAGTCAGTGGAAGCTCTGCCAGAAACGGAAATGGAATTCATCCCTTGTGGTGGTATAAGTATGAAAGAAAATTTATAAAAAATGTAAAAATTGTACAATTACTATGAACATTTATAATGATTCTATTTTTTATACGCAATCATTGTTAAATATAACTAGATAATGTATTTTGTACATAATTTTTACAGAATATTTTTTATAAACAAAAATGCAATAAAGTATTTTCATATATACATATACACAAAAATTTGAAGTTTGTCGTTCGTCGATAACAATTGACAATTCTCATTTGATACGTTTTATCTTTTTGTAATTACTTCTGCTTTCAATTCATTAATCAAAATAACGTATCGAATGCGAGATATCGACTGTCAAACTTTTTTTCAGCAATTCCTAAATCGTTATAAGTAAAATGGTACTGAAAAAAATTTGGGATTGGATAACATACACTTTTTGTTTCGTTCTTAGGACAGCGGGATATATTTTCCTTGTATTCCTTAGCTTCATATTTTTTATCGCATTTACAACCCTTACGGTAATTGTGATTTTAAATATGCTTGGTTACCAATTTGTAATAGATGATCGTGATTGATTTAAAAAGAAGGTACTTATTCGTTCAATTTCTTATCATTTATAAATTAAGACAAACCGTCAAAGTGATAACAGGAATAAAGTAATATATTTAAAGTCAAATGTAACAAGTATTTGAAAAATATATTTTGACATTATATCACATATTTATTGTGTACATCTTAATCTTCGTAATGTGATAACACATTTCTCAGATTATACCGCACATATTCATTTGTATGTTTAAATTGTTATCATATTTTATAAGAACTGATTTTATCTTTATTTTATCTATTGAAAATCTTTAATTTTCCTTGAAAATAAACAAATATTTTTTTTTTTTTTTAAACATGAACATAGAATTTGGCATAAGTATGTACAACAAGTATTTTTTTTTCTAGGTATAACAGTTTAAGGTACATTCGTCAAAATGTTTTCAACAATCATTATGCTAATACACTGTGTGTATGCATTTATCTTCCGTACACAGACAAATTGATACAACACGACGAAATACTTTTCTATATTCATTTAAGATTATAATCTCTGGTTGTCATGAAGTTCAACGTGTCAATAGTCAACGGTAAAGTTTTCATATCTTACAAGCGAAAGCTTCTTTAATTACAGTAAAATTTTTCGTATTCCAGATAAGAATTAACTGTACTACTTTATACAGATGCTACCCTAATATGACTTCATTTAGACATAAAGTTTGATACAAATAAACTTTTCATTTATACAATGTTTACCCTTTATATATACATAAATTGTGTGTAGGTACTCCCAATCATAAGTTTTTGGCTTCATACAATTTGTACAGGTTCTTTGAATGCTTGAAACATTATTTCGACACTTTATATAGACATGCAATCTTTTTAAAATAAAGCTATAACAGCATTTGTTTAATTTCTCTATTTGAAGAAATGTTAATCAAGAAAGTTTCAAGATTATTCTTCTTATAATACATTGAACAAACTTCAATGTTTCAAGTCAAATATTTCTATAAGCAGTGGCTCTACTCTCGATGGGTTCAAGTTAAGATAAACCCCAACAACTTCGTTGTTCAGTCTATGAAGATCGGAAATTTTTTGAATTAACTTTAAAAACATAGATTTGGCCTCACATCCAGGGTATATGCTTTCCAAGTAACGTCTGAGTAAATAATAATAAGAATTCTACAAAAGATAACGCATGATTAGAATTCAATATCATTTATAATAAAATTCCGAGACTTACTTGTTCTAGTTTGATGACATCGTTATGCACCACTTTTGGTCTATCAGGTGTAAATAAAGCAATTGCGCTTAAAATTAAAATAATATTCTCGTCTCTCCATCTCGAGTCAAAACTTCTAAGAAACCTTGTATGCTCAGCATAGAGGTTTCCATTCGCCTCCTTCAAAATATCCACTTTTATATTCGACATACTTTCTTGACTGTGTGGAATGCACCACATATCTTTCTCAGCATCATAAGTGAGTGCCGATCTTAGAATCATCATTTCCGTGGAGCCTCCTTTTAAAAGAGCGATCTGATCTTCTTGACACATATTCTTAAAAGCATTTATTTTTTTCGCCATCTTTATTAAGCGTCTAATAGCAATAGCTGTTAGATTTACAACATCTAATAGTGCTGGATCGGATCGACCGAAAATATTCTAAAAATAAATAAAATTTTTAATTTTGTAAGATTTGTTAATAAGCAAAATTAATTTTAATAAGCATCACCTTAAAATTACAATCTTCACCAATTAAATGTGTTATATCATCATCTAAAGGAGCTAATAATGCTTTGTTAGCTACTATTAATTCATTTAACTTTGCTCTTTCAGCGTCATTTAATTCTCTTCTAGTCTCTATTCCACCAAGAGCCGAATATGCTGAAAACTCTAATTTAATTGCTTCACAAAGAATTGATTCAATGGAATTTGCAACAATTGGTACTCTGAAAAAGAGTAAATAATTGAGATAACGTATAATATTAAATTTCTTGATTTCAAATAAATTTACATTCCATTTGTACCTTTGTACATCTTGAAGCACATCTCTTGTAACATCTGTTACATTCTTGTTCCAATCACCACTACTGCTGGGTTCAATTCGTTGATTTATGCATTCTTCTTGATTCGAATTTGTAATTAAATCCGTCAGAATTGGATTTTCTATATGTCTTTGTTTAACTTTAAATGCTGGCTTAAATTTATGATTTAAAACATTAGTAGCTTTTAAATCATCTTTATACTGAATGTTTGTTTTATTTTCAGATGATGGATCTTTTCCTACAGTGCCACTATCTTCCTTGAAAAATTTTGAAATTTCAGGATCTGCCTCCAATTTGCTAATAACAGCAGGATCTGTCATGATCTTTAGAAGTAATTCTTCATTTTGAAATATCTTTGCAATAAAATTCGAATTATTAACAAGCTTCGTGATTACGCTTGGATCTTGATTAAATTTAGCAATTAAATTATTTTCTTTTTGACATGCTTCTTTGCTAGATTTCGTACATGTTTCTAATTCTTCGGGACAAACTTGCATACCTATATGCATTTCTGAAGTTACATCTAGATTCATTCTTCTAGACTGTAGCATATGATCGCTATACGGAGAATTCTGTACAGGACTACGATTTAATTTATTGTAACAGGATGTATTATCAAATTCAGGAGAATACTTTAATGGTTCGCTGTTAGCAGAATCAAAATCGGAATTTAAATCTAAAGCACTCTGTTCCAACCTTTTTGAACTTATTACAAATTCTTTATCCTTTTCCAGATTATTAGAAACAGATTTAACTTTATCACATTTTTGCTGATTTTCTATAGGTGAATCCGAATCAACTCTTAATCTTTCTATTTCTGTTTCATTTTCCTCATGGCAAGGAGAATTCTCAAAATTAGAATTGGAATTATGAGAAGAGTTTTTCATCATATCAAGTGTTTTTGACCCACTTATAGTTCCATTTTCTGGAGGACTGGAAGGACTTGGAACACTGGCAGCTGTTACCGGACTCAAGCTTTCTGTTACATTCTGCCTGCTAGCATCTAGGTCTGTATATTTCCTATCGGATTCCCAGAAATATGTATCCGACACGGTTGATGCAACCGAATTAATCGACATAGAAGTGTCGTCGAACGTGCATTCATCTATACAACCCTTTTTAACTTTTGGTGCCTTTGAATTATCCCCAGTAGGTCTCTTCTTTGCACGGTTTTGTTCTATCTTTTGTCTCTTCAATACCTTATCCTCTTCAGACATAATATACTCTTTTCTCATACCGATACTAAAACATTTGTCTAAGCGACATTTCTGACAAAAACGTCTGGTAACTGGTGTGATATTACAATTTTGTGTAAAAGGACATCTGAAATCCTGTGGAAATAAAATAAACTTCTTAATTGGAATACTCATAATTTCAAATGACATACTAAAGTATATAACTTGATCGGTTAACAATAAAAAAAAAAAAATACTGACGTGTGTAAACAAACAGAAAAATACAAGTGGCACATTGAAAATATGTAGTCACCTTATTTTTCAAAGCGTTCCTTCGAAAGAAAGCCTTACAGCTTTCGCACGAGACTGCGTTAAAATTGTAACCGAGCGCACGATCGCCGCATACTCCACAGATTTTGTTAGCCTCTCTAGCCGGCTGTTCATCTTCCATTGCTTCCCGGGACGATTTCTCGTGTAATTAACACTTCTTCTCTTAACGCAACATTATTCCTGATTTGTATCGCGCTTCTCCAACGACTGACTCATGTCAGCGTTGTTTATCGCACTGTCCGTGATACAACAGAGCGAACTGCAATTATTCGGACGTGGTTGTTTATCATACGACTATCATTTTTGGTCCAACGCCCCGGATCTAAAAGATGCTATCTCAAAAGCTTTAAGTGACAAGCTAAATGGACCGCTCAATTGGCGTTTAGTTGTGAGCAGTTAACGGGGCGGTGCGCACAAAACCTGTCCTGTGTTTCGCTATTAATCCTCCCACCACGTTTCCCCTATCTGTAGCAACAACATCGGCTCCTTAAAATAACTAAATCAGATGAATCTAGGGAGTTTTTGAAATGCATCATTTTTCACCGAAAAAAGTGAAAGTCGTTAGAGTGAATTCCCGCGCGAAATGCGCGTCTTAGAATTTCACCTGAATCTTCAACTTATATTAATTCATGAGAGCTTGATGGCGTATTTTACAGTAGGTAAATCGTACATATAATACTTTCTTCTTGGAAATTGTTATCAGTATGATATCTAGCGATAACGTACTTCACTTTTCCACGATACTTACATTACTTCACAAAAAAATTATCAGATTATATAATTATACAGAACGAATAGATCCCTTGGATGCATGTACAAAAGGTTCAAAGTTCAGGCGTACACAGGTTTAGCACGTGAATTGACAATCAAGCAAGGACGATTTAAAAATAATTGATTTAAGAATAAATACGTACGTCATGAACTTTCAACTATTTGCTTCAATTATCACTAAGATCAAAAAACCTCATTGTCTCATACAATCACTTATTAATGTGCAACTAACTGCGTATAGGTCTCGAAAACTGAAAACTCAATTGAAGGAGCGTTTACTTAATTCGTTATATCGTTATCAATCAAACACGGTTTAAGATAAGTAGGAGCGGTTGAATCGTGAACTTAGATTCGTATTCGTTATTATTTATCTTGTTGAAATTATAAACGAGAGAGAGGCATAGATTACATACGAATTAGTTTCAATCATGTACCGCTGTTTATCAATTCATAATTTTTCAATCCAATGATTATAACAACTGAAATTAAATAAGGCTTGTTCAGAGAACGCCGGTACATATTTTGTACGATTTATTCCGTGACACTTAAAACCATAATCAATCAAACGGTACAAAAATTCTTTGTTAAGAGTAAATTTAAGAAATCATATTTACAAATTGGCAGTATACATCTATCTTTTAATTTCACTTCATCGAATTCTAAACGACTTAAACAAAACGATTATACGTATAAAACAAATAAATCATTTGCTGATATGTGTATAAACTGACTATCATTACAAGAATAAAACATTTATCGTATTCTTAGACTTAATATTAAAATATATATATATATAAATGTTTATATTAAAAATATACAGGTATTTGAGAAAATCCGTCTTCTGATAAACATTTGTTCTTCTGATAAATGCATTTGAAATGTACAAGATTAAGTTCGCGTTTACCCACTATTATTCTACCTTCCCGCATTCGTAAAGGCACACCTGTTGAAATCTCTATCGACAGGGTTTGATCGGGCAGTGTTTCCATTCAGCAAGCTGGTTGATGGAGCTTCAAGAAATTTTTATTTACCCGGGGTATCAGTTAATTTCGTGCTGCCCATTTGCACACCCCCGCTGTGGAGCACCAATTCTTCTCTCGAGTAAAACATCACGATCTCTTCGACGCTGGAGAACGATTGTTCGTTCGCTTTCGCCGAGCCCAATGCGTACCTAATCATGAATTAAGCATTGTTTAATCTGCTTGCAGGTCAAGTTCGATTAATATTAAAATGACGTATCTATCACAGCCAACGCGGATCTGCAGCGAGAATATTAGAGTACATGTAATTTATTTATCTCTTATCTCTGGGCTAAATTTTGCAGAATGATTAAATGTCTCTTATGTTGCAGAACATGTACCGTACCCAATAAGAACACATACGGCGAAAGCATATACTCAGCACATCAAGAAATGTTCATTTCTATTACCTATTATCTGGCCTCTTCCTTACTGGAACATTATAAACCTTATCCTTATACCAAAGCACCAAAGCCAGTGGATTATTCACGTTAGTCGTGGACGGTCTCAGTAGGAAATATCCATCTTGTGGGTTACCATAGATACTTTCTAAATAGGACAAATCAGTTATATTTAGTCAAGAGGTAACGAGCCAATGATAAGGCGATCATACATATCATTAATGATTCAAAAACTTACGTTCTTTGATAAGAGACGTCGCCTGTTCTCTGCTCACGTTATGAAACCACGGTTTATCAATGTAGGACTGTCTTTCAGGTGGAGGCGGAAGTGGTCTGGTGGCTCTTTCCGACGACAACGAGGTGTTGCTGTTAGAATGAGGTAGCGTCGCTGATTTCTTCTCTGGCGACCGTTCTGTAACAATTGCAACAGACGTTAAACGAGCTACAACGATCCGTCTACGACTGCGATAAGCTTGATCCCATTCGAAGGTATATTTAGAACAGGATTCGATACAGTTTCATGTCACATCTTACTAACTTGCCAAGTTGAGACGCGCTTGGGTAAGGGTTGCCTGAGTCAAACACTCCGAGAGGCTCGCTTGCCGACGTATAGCAGTGTTTAAGGATATATGTCTTTTCGGATCGCCGATTATCGTAGCCATTTTCGCACGGTCTTCAGGCTGGGACAAAATTCAAATCGTTCACGCGTTTATCAAGAGCACGTGCACTAATATATCATCGTCGGATCTGGTGTTGTTCATGTTTACAATGTTAAACAAACTGTATTATCGCAGAGTAGAGATTCTTAGGCGATGCCAGTTACGAGAGCAAATTCGAAACTAGCACTGAAAGGAAATCTTGGCAACTGGTTTAACGCGTTAATTTATGCTAATACTAATGACGTGCAAACGTCAAGGATTACATAGGTGTATTGTTCACGCTACAAATACATATGAGAGATAATGTACGCTGTTGATGTTCATCTTCACTGTACAATATTCATAGATGATACATCTAGCGTTTGTTAAATATAATATACTATATTAAATTAGATTCTCTACTTGACGACTGCTCCGGTTCAATCCGACCGTCGCGAAATCACTGCACCGACTGGCATTTAACTTGAGATGCAGCCGAGAGCCACTTATAAAACTCGACCATCCGTTGGTCCCTCAGCATGGGGTACCTAAATTCCCCAAGGCTTAAAAATATACCTCGTCACGAGCGTACGTATTTCGGGATTGTTTTAGTCCCGTTTACGTTTCCAATTTAACACGTTGACGACCGTATCTGAGGACAACATGTGTGAACACAAAACTGTTCAAATGTTTAAATGCTTAAGCCTCAAAGAGATTGCGGTTGAAATATAGATTCATAATTTACTTTGGATTTTCATGTCACATTATACCATTATCCCACTTCGAATAATATGGGGAGTTGAAATCGCCGATCCATCCACTGGTCGTCAACGCGTTAAGTTGACGATGCTAAATTCCGGTGTTGAAATGCGTGCCGCTCGAAAGTACATTGAATCGCAAAGAATCCGCTTCGTAAGTGATTTTCGTACCTGGCGGCTCAGGTGGCTGGGTGTAACAACATCGGGAAAGGCCTCTCTTGATCCTCACTATCATATCGGACACCTCATCGGCCAATCTAACGCCTAAACCTCCTAGGAGCTGTTTGCTCAGTCTTAGATAAAAGCAGGAACACATTCCATTACACTGTTTCCTCTTCGGTTTTTCCACGATAATACCACGCTTATTTCGTTTCCTCGTATTTCATCGGTTCTCGATGAATTTTTCTTTTTTTATATTTAATCGTCGACCTTAAAACGTCTCTCTCGTTTCTATAGTTGCGCATGTTGCAAAATGTTTTGACGTGAAATTATTTTTTCTGGCACGGTGTTTGTTGCCGTTAACGAATGGAGAAAGAATTGACGAATGGAATGTGGGAAAATGGGCCACGATATCATCGACAAAGAATTTTGTTTGAAACATCAATAAATATAGCCGAGGAACGAGTTGAAACAAAGAGAACGATCGTTCGTTCATGACTGACTGCAATTGCAACGAGCATCAGGTTGTACGAACATCGTGGCCATACCATTTGCCACGCAGATGTTTATGAGAAGCTGCAACCACCGAGAGAAACTTTTTTTATTCTTCAAAAAATTCTATGTTGCCCATACTTTTTGCTGTACTCTGTAACACGTTGCGACTCTTACTAATTTCTTTTTTTTTTCCTTGTACGTATTTTCGTACTAGCGTAGCGGAAACAGTCTTTATCGTATCCTGGGAACCGTTTCCTTAAATGATTACTGCTCTCATTTTGTGGCCATCCGTTATCTTCGCATTTTAAATTAAATTACCTTAATTTAAATTACTTAATTTAAAACCTTAAATTAAATTAAATTAAATATTATTTCTTAACAGTAAGAAATATACTAACCCTTTGATTTCTCTAAGTTCGTCCGAGTTAAAGTTGGAGAAGGGCTAGCTGATGATTGAGGAGGTTTCGCTGGTAGAGGTGGGGGTGTTTTTATCTCCGTCGTCCTCTGAATAGGACTTAAATTGTAACTACTATCGTCTGGCTAAAAATATCAAAATTTTAATCGTGATTAACAATGATAATCAGAAAAATGATATTTATACACTTACTGTTTCTGTAATTGACTCGTAAATTTCATACTGCTCCTCTTCTTCCTCGTAGCTGGTAACGCTGGCCGGTTGATAAACACTTTCTATGGAACTTCGGTTTCCACTGGTCAGCGATTGCTTGCTATCTGCTCTGAATATGTTCTTCTTTTGATTCTGTTCGATAATTTGTTCGTCGAATGCCTCGTATTCGTCCTCGCTTTCTTCCGTTCGCGTTGGCAAATTTGCGACCAGATCGAGATTCCTAAGCATAGCTGGAGGCTTCGTTTGCTCCTTGCTTGATTTTTCTATGATCATTGGTTGATCGCTGTTCTTCTTCGGCTCGGGTGGCGGTGGTACAGCCATTCTCTCTAAAATTTACAATTTAGTTTGAATATTATATATTATATATCAATTTATCTATACTAACTTTGCGTTTGACTAGGAGTATTCGGCTTTGCCATTGAGACATTGTATAAAAATGATTTCTGCGGTTGGGTACGTCCTAAAGGTGAAACCTCCACTTTCCTCGATTGCAAAGACTTGGGTTTCGGTCCTGCCATCGGCTTCTTTGTATTTCGTAGCTTCAGCTGTTCTTTCAGCTGCTCTGCCAATGATTTCTCTGTTTGCAACGAGTGTAATCTCGACGTACTCTTCGATGAAACAGTTTTCGTCTCGTCGCAATTCGCGTACGTGTTTTCATCGCGTGGCATCGAACCGCAATTTGCATAAGTTCCTTCTTCCTCTTGTCTCGATATCTCTTCTGTTCGCGTATCTTGTTGCTCAGGGTTTGCATTGTTTTGCGACAGCTTCTGATTACTTCTAAGTCCTACGTTCGATTGAATGGCTTTCTGAAATTCTTGTAAGGCACTTTCCTCGTTCGTTTCGTCCTCGAAGTCGGTTCCCCAGGAACCGGTGTCGCTCAGGTGATCCTCCGTCACCTGCGATTCGAGTATCTTCTCCTCTACGTATTTCTCTGGTGTTTTTTTCACTTCTTCCACGAACGTCCACAGACTCCTAAAAGAAACGATGGATCTTATTTCTCGCCTATAGAATTTTATTTTTCTTATTGAAAGAATTCATAGCGTTAACGCGATATTGAATGATCGAGCGCGTCCCACGCGGCAGTATTACGTGCCTATGGCACTAACTCGCGAGCATCAAATAACCGAGTCAAGTTTGGCTTGGCCTTCGGAATCGCTAGCTACAATATATTTCGATTTTGCTCGAGCCATTGAACCTTCTCGGTATGCATACTGCGTCTCGCGTCGCTTTCTATAGAGACCGTCGCTCGCCAAATTTCTCGGCGGCCTGAAGCACGATGACGTTTAATTTACGGGGGAAACGCATGAATTATAGTGCATTTAATTCAATGAAAATTTACATATTGAAAACTGGTACATATTCCAGTTAGATATTTAAATCTAATGTTACTAATAAATCATTCATCTAACGTTTCGTATAATTGTTCCAGATGCGGTGATCATGCTTCGAAGGAGTGTCTCAAGATGCTTCACTGGCGTAGAGAGGAACCGTTAGATTGTGACATGGACTTCGTAACTCTGACTGGTTGGGAATAAATGCCATAAAACGTTGCTGTATGAAATCTAGCGCGCTTTATATTTCCTTTTCTTACCATATCAATGGACGCGTGAGGTCACTCTTCCACAGCGCCAGCTTCCCTTCCGTCAAGTGCTGGAATAATTACAATTAATTAAGAGGAGCATAAAAGAGAGCACGCGCCGGCTGGACCGAAATAACAGCTTTACACGAATTATGAATGGAACACGCTGCATTATCTTCGTATTTTCTTTGTTCAAATGATCAAAAATTTCTTTTTCTTTAATCAATTATTGTTTGTTTTACAAAATATGTGTTTTTACAGGTGATGTTACAAACTTCTACCAGTTATCAACTAGGCAACATTCTTCTTATTGAGATTGTGACTCTGAGTTATTAAGTTCCAAATGAGTTCCAAATGAGTTACTCACCAATAGCTCGTCCCCATCGATCTTTCGTTTTGCGATCGCTTTGCAACATTCTTCCAGACCGTTCTGCAAAAGAAGAGGATACCGGTTCGATAAAACAGGATGCGCAAGAGTGATAACGCACGGGTATGTTTCCTGCAAATATTGACGCTACTAACAGTAATGAAACACAGCAAAGTGAGAGCTATATATGCTTTCTGTCCTCTTACAAAACTAGATTACAAAAACTGTCCTTCCAGATTTAGCGCTTAAACGACTTTAAATTGTTTAAAAAATAATTCTCTTAATTAAAAGTTCTATCACCATCTTATGGAATGCATTGCGTTGCCGTATTTAATTTTGTAAAATATGCAACTTTGTGCTTTCATAAAATCTTTTTTCGCAGATGTTTTCTCTACCAGTCGGTATATTCAATCGGTACATGTACTTTCATTTTTCTTTCAAACATTTTCACATGAATCTAAAACAGCGTTTGTATTCTAGTCCCACGATTGTATGCTACAGAAAAGAAAGTGTAGCCTGATACGTGAACCTCGTATATTCATTTGAAAGACGATCGTTAAAAATATCCATGTGAACCGCTGTTTGTAAACATGTGACACATGGAATGCTCGACATTTCCGATTTGTCATCGGTTGATAATTAGTTTGCAAACTCTATTAGTCTATTATATCGGCAACCAGGTACCGAGACACCACGTTTCTATCGATCGTTTGTCTGTAGAGCTGTATAAATAATTTCATATACATTAATTGTTATTTATCATTCATCAAACGTATCAACAACATACACGGTTACAGAAATTTTAATAATTCGCCCCCTGTCGAAATATTTGCGTAATGATTTTTTATCGACTAACAGTAAAGTGAACGAACCCTTAATCTAATGTAAATATATAGATATTCGATAGGTCATCTTCAATTGATAATTTAATTCATACTTAATTGGTAATCTTCTTTTTTATTTAGGATTTCGATGCGGAGTTCATTGTACCAGTGTTTGCTGTTGACAGTACGAGGCATTACCGGAGTTTACTCACCTTTCGGAGCAGGTACAACACATCGTCGGTGCTCCAATTGGAAATATCCTCGAGAGCGTCGCTTCGCGACAATTTTTTAAACATTGCACCGTGTGTTCATGCGGCCGTCACTAAAAAAAAAATCCTCGCACGTGTTCACCGCCCGGTCGCATCTGCATCTGCTTTTTGTGGGCGAGGTGTCTTGACAGTCCTCAGTCCTCGCCACTTCGTATTTTCCTCTTTGCCCCTCTGTATTCTGACGTCTGTCGTCGGCCGCCACTCGAATGCCTACATGACAAACCGTCCATCGTCGACCACGATTGGTCACTTTCTTATGGTGCACCTGTTTCATTAGATACGTTCCTGCATCAGCGACGCTCATGGTTCTCTTTCTGCACGCTGGTACTTCAAATTATTCTGACTGCAGATTCTTCAATTTTGTTGATTAATTTGTATTCTTATGCTGGAAGTTCTTACAATAAAGAAGCTGTTTGATTTTTATTCATTCTAAGGAACTGTTAATGATGAAATAGTTGGCTCTTTGACTACTTATTCTTCTTTGGTTTGACGATCTCTATTGAGCACCGTTGATTTAAAGACGAGTTTGCATTGTGATATAAATTTTGCATTTCATGTCTTTTGTCGTTTAATTCAAACATTTCATCTTGAACAAGTATTAATTTTAACTGCAAAAGGATTTCGACAAAGTCTGTCATTTAAAATATTCTAGGATAGTGTAGAAAATACCGTTGGTTTCTGCGCCGAAGCAGTAGTTCAACAGTCGCGAATCCATGAAGGCAATGTTAGAAGTCGCGTAGGCGCAGTCATTATCGAATGGTATTTGTGTAAAGTTTTTTTCGTTAATAACAAGTGTTTGATAAATATAAGAAAAAAGAGTGATAGAATGACTGTCGTCGATCTCAATTCTCAGCAAGAATACGAGAATCAGATCAAGTGAGTAATCATAAATGTAACAGATTTGATACGTAGGTAATACATAACCTAGTAGATGAAGATTTTTTATTAAACAAGATCGTCTAAGTTCAGAAGTTAGACATTTTTATTGATATGGTGTTGTGATAAAATAAGAACACTTTGATACTGCATTCGTATGATGTCCTTCAACAACGTGTTTGTTTGCTACGCAGGTCGCAAGATCTTTCGGTCGTTCATTTTTATGCACCATGGGCCAGTCAGTGTACGCAGATAAACGATGTGATCGAAGAAATGAGCAAATTGGACGAATATAAAGGAGTTAAATTTGCTAAGATCGAAGCTGAAAAAGTACCTGATGTTTCTTTAAAAACAGGCATCACTGCAGTACCAACGGTTGTGTTAGCAAGAAATGATTCTGTAATTGATAGAGTTAATGGAGCCAATCCTTCTGCTATAGCAGCAAAAGTTAAATATTATTTAGTTAATAAAGAGTCTGTTCCAATTGAAGTATGTAAGCCAAAAGAAAATCTTGAAGATAGACTTAAGAAATTAATAAATCAATCACCCTGTATGCTGTTTATGAAAGGAAATCCTGCGAATCCACGTTGTGGATTTTCTAGAACAATAGTCTCCATTTTAGATTCTTGTAAAGCAGATTATCAGTCATTTGATATTTTACAAGACAATGATGTTAGAGAAGGACTTAAAAAATTTAGTAATTGGCCAACATATCCTCAATTATATGTAAATGGAGAACTCATTGGAGGTTTGGATATTGTAAAGGAAATGAGTGAATCTGGAGAATTGGAAAGCATGTTGCCTAAGAAAAGTTAATGTAAAACAAAAGTAAGTTTCTAATTACTTAGTCAGAAGACAGAAGACTATTTTATTATTATTATTATTATTCTTAAATTATTTTGTATCAATTACAAGGATTTCAATATTTTCTTTGTTAAAATATGTAATAAATTAAACCACTAGGGTAAAAAATATGCTTTTTTATAAACCTTATCTTTCAGTAAAATGATTATACAAAATAATAATAATACAGATATTCTGTACTTTATAACAAATCCTATTTACTTAAATATAGAGCTCTAATAATATATTAGTGTATTAATTGTTAAACATGTGTTCACACTCAAATTGATTATTTTATATATTTACATGTATTTATTTGTAATGAAAAGAGGTGACAACAATCATAAATTGCATGATAATTATTTCATAATTCCTAAATATTAATATCTAACAGACAGTTCCTAATTTTGTTTTTTATTTTTCGCTTTCGTTTGTGCACCTTTTTTTTCACCTTTAATAATGTTATTAAATTTATTTGCATTCTTTTTCTTCTTCCTGAAAACAATATATCAACAGGTTATTATACTAAACATAATTCGAACAAAAATTGTAGACACTATTACCTTTTATTTAGAACTGATCTTGATAAAGGTACATATGCATATGGATCTGGTTTACCCTTCTTCTTAACATCTCCTCCAGCTTTTGGAGCTCTATATTCTATTCCGGGTGATTGTTCAAACTTTCCTCTTTTCAATGGTCGATGAATTCCTGATCCTCCAGCTGTAAATAACAAGATTAAGTGAATAGAATAAAAGGAAACAGGTCACACTGAGATATATTACCTTTATATTTTGATGTGGCTGAACTTTTTAAACTAATATTATCAGAATTCTCACTGGATTTATGTTTCCTATCGTCTGGATGTAACGTAGTTATACATTGAATATCATCATCCACATCCACTGCAAACATGTACTCGTTAAAATTATTTCAATTAATCATATTTTCTTATACATACGTATATATTATATTTTTTTACCATAATCTTCTTCCGAATCACTATGCAAGAATGAAGCTTTCCTTTTCTTTCTAACTTGTGCTTCATCGTCTTTTTCATTATCTATTGTAATGATAAGACGACCATCTGGTGCCGTCTTGAATCCACGATCCTTTGATCTTGTAACGGATGTATTTGGATTTAAGGCTCTAGGTTGTGTCGCTAAAAAATTATTTTATAAAATTAATTATTCTTAAATTTGGATAATTAAATTTGGAAACTATATACTTACTTGATATATTACGAGCAGCGGCTGGATCAATGAGATCAACAATTTCCTCATTTTCTTGAATCCAAGCTTCTTTTCGTGATGTCCTTTTCTTATTTTTCCTTGGTTCTTCATTTTCTGTACCTTCGAATTCGTCCTCGCTATCTGCTAATATTTCCTCGATACTAAATTTTAATAAAAATAACAATTATTTTATGATTTTATTAACAATCTTATTTATAAACAAATTTAAAGTTACCTCTTGGGCCTTCTCTTAGCGTTGAATTCGTCATCTTCCTTTTCGTCTTCCTGCAATTTTTTCGCTTGTTTGTTCTTCTTCTTCGCTTCTTCTATTTTGTTTATATTTTTCAGTCTCTTTTGTAACATTGTATTAGATATCATACTAGAGAGTGTTTCTATTCCATATTTTCTTAACAATTTGACTAAGATTATGCGAACTGTTTGTCTAAAATGTCTATGACAGTCATCGTTCATTCCACATAAAGCCTCCATCTGTAATTTGATTTATTGATTCAATAAAAGATTTATTAACGACACAGTTATTGAATAACTGTTCTACTTACTAATCTAGGTAAAGATGAAGCAACAACAGGAGATGGCATCACAGTAATATAAACTTTAATGTAGGATAATGCGGCTTCCGCTACTTCTCTCGTAGGACTTGCTATAAGTCTGCATGCATGTTCCAAAATTTCTTTAATTGTATCCATACCAAGTGAACCTATTTAAATATTCGTTAAAATATTTATCACATATTCAATTTCAATTATTTCGATGTTGAAAACAATACTTACCATTGAAATGATAAGTAACAGATGCAAGTGCTAACATGGATGCAGCACAATATTTAAATACACCCCCTAAACCAACTATTAACATATTGATATAATTTCTAAGATGGTTCTGATTTTTTAAGAATTTTTCAGTGATAGTATTCAACAGCTGGTAAGCAGATGTGCGACACTTTGTATTTATATCTTTTAAATACACTACTGCTTCAGGAACAACAGCTTCCAAGAATTTACTCCCCTCGAGTTGTGGATGAATTTTAACTAAATGTGTTAAACACCTTAATCGAGCTCCTCTACTTGGTTTTCCAACTTGAGTTACAGAAGATATTAATAGATTCTGTATTTCACGTCTATGCTGTAGTACAAACGTTTTACATGTCTCCTTTTCACTATCACATATTTCTTCCAAAAATCTGTATGCTTTCTTTTGCTCTTTTGTGTTATTACTCTCTTTAATATTTTGTGTACAAATATCATATAGCGTTTTTAATCTGTCAGTGTCTGTATATTCAACTAATAATCTTATTATATCGTGTACACTTTCTTTGAAAAAGTTATCGGCATTAGGTTCATCTAACCTAGATAATGCACGATCAAATAATTCATGTATCAGTTCATTGTTTGTAATGGTAAGATACACCTTTATTGTATCGAATGCAGCAAGACGTTGTCCTTCTTCGTCAGTTCCGTTTGGTCTATTAGTATATAAATTCAAAAACAGTGGTAAATAGTTCTTTGCATATTTAGACAATTCAGCTATATCTTCTTGTTTATTATCTCCAACTGCTTTCGTTATTAATTTTCGTAAAGCAGACATTATCGATAACCTTAAACCTTTTTGTTCACTAAACGTCTTACCGAATAGCTTAGCAATATACTAAAATAGATTTATTTTGTAAATATTAAAGTACATACTTTGTATATATCTATTATACATACCTTAAAATTATCTTTTACATCAACAGCATTGTGGCATATACTTGGTAAAACAGCCCATATTTGTGAAATAATAAGTTCATAAGTCTTTCCACCTATAGGTTCAGCCGCTTTTTTCCTGAAATTAATAATTCAAAACTAAAATATTTGTCTGTAATTAATATAGCTAAAAATACTTACTGGCATACATCACTTAAAGGTAATAATGTTTCTATAAAGAAATTAAGTGATCCTGTTGTTATACAGTCCTTTAATAATGGTAATAACCAAGTTCGTTTTAGATTAATTGCATCATTCTTTTCCTGCAAAATAAAAATTATCGTATTGTTATTGTCAATGTAGAATTATAATTTTTAGCTGTTTCTAATTATGCAAAATAACTTACATTCATTGGAATTGTATTTAATACCGTTTGTGCACCCATAGATTTTATTGCAGCGCCAATAGCGTATTCTGCATCATTTTTTGAAGAGAAATTGTAAGAATCACGTAAATTTGCTAACGATTTTAATAAATCTATAAATTTTAAACTTCCAGATTTTCCGGCTATCTGCAATAAAAGAAACAATTTGACTACTTGAAAGAATTCAACAGAGAAATAAATGATTGAAATTAAATGTTACCTGAAAAAGTAAAGCTATTAAATGAAGAATATGATACCATGCTTCCAAATACTGATAACTTAATGCTGTGTGCATCATGAAAGCTATTTGATTAATTGTATTGCTATACCTAAAGTTAAAAAGAAGATTATAAAATACAGGTAATACATTGAAAAATAATATTTAAATTTATATTTACTTTATCATTTGTTCATCATTTTCACACATTTTACCAACACAGTCCTGCAATAATATTTTCATTGTATGCGATGTACCAGAGATGATTTCTGATCGGTCCGAGAGCCATAATTCCATACACTTCTCGAACAATTTTGGTAAAATAGCAGCGCACAAGTTCACCGAGTTTCTATAAATAAATTAAAACTATCAATGATTACCACTCGTGTACGAAAATATAAAAATTAAATATGCAATATGCACTTACTGTGCTAGATTTAAATGTGCTTCTTGCATGACTGCTAACCATGCAAGCGTCGGCTGCGTATCAGTTGTCGGAGGTTGAAAATCATAAAGAGCAGTAATGATCTGTCCATTTCTTTGCACTGGTAAAATAGTTTCCAAAGGTCGAGAGACAAATAAACCATGGAAAGTTTGTAAGCAACATGACGTTACCAAAACATTTTTCAATGTCATAAGATTTAACAATGATTCACAAATAGTCTAAATGAACAGAACAATGATTCTATTTTATACTGTAAATAACAGATGTAACCATGTTTGTAACATTTACCTTCACATGAGCTCTTGGGAACTGGTGAAGTATATCTTTCAATAATGTAAGAATATGAAGAATATTTGTAATTCCACCAGATTCAGAAACAAGTTCTAATTGTCCAATACAACGTTTTCCAATTTGAGGAGCAGCTGGATGATACTGTGGTGGATTACTACTTTTCATAACATCACTTCCTACAAATCATTAAAGACATCCCATAATAGAAACATTACTAAATTCTTATATACTTTTTTCATAATGTACCTTTTAATATGACACATATATCATGTTGTGCTTGTTTTCGTACTTTTGGTTTACTGTGTGTAATAAATGATAAAAGAGCATCCAGTACTTGTATTGTAGATGAATTGGACCATGTTGCTAATTCTTGAGCTCGAAGTAACAAAGACAAACAATGAATACACTGAAATAAATTAAACCTATAAGTTGTATATTCTATTCATTGAAAACTAAGCTACTTAAGTTATGAACCTACATGCCGAAGTATTAAGAAATCTTCTGATGCAGCATGTTCAGTAAGAATATTGAGAAAAATTTTACTTGCAGCTCCAAACTGCACATTCAAAACATTCTTAGGTACAGTTTTTAAAACCATTCCCAACAATGAAAGTGTAGCTGCAATTGATGTATCAGATTCAATTGCCTCTAATGTGCTCATCTATTAACAAACATCAGTATTTAAAGTCATTAATAATCTGCTATTTTTTTTGATGGAATAAAGTTAAAACATTTGAAATATACCAATGCAGCAAAATATTCTGTGGAAGACTCAGTTCCACCATTTTGTTTTATAATTTCCGTAACTGCTGACAATACAGCTAACATTTCTTTGTGTAGTAATGAATTTGATTGAAAATGATTTAAAAACCTAAAAAAAATTGTTATTTAATTAATATCCTTCCATTCTTCTTTAAAATTTACTTCAGATACTTACATATTAAATGATATATTTGAACAGTTGCTATAATTAGTAGCAAATGTGTCAAACGTATTGATAGTATTCTCTGTATAAGTTTCTGATTGATTATCATCAAGATCAAGTTTTTCTAACTGAGGTTGAATACCTTGGATAGCATCGTGTTTTTGTAAAGCCTCCTTTGTTATACCTGGCTTCCCTACAATCAAAAGGAAATGTTAAAATGCTGGAATATTTATAAGAAATTATCACGTATGAAATTGAGAAAATGATACCTGATGTATCCTTTAAATACATCCATGCTGCTTGTTCTCGATGTTTTTTCGTTACTGGATTAGAACTGGAACTCTGACCCTTTGGCCAGCGTTTAGCATTTTTTCTACTATCTAAGCGTGGTCCTAATTTACCCATTTTGTGTTCTCTGGGCTACTGTTACGGTACTCAAATTTAAGTATTGATTCTCACCGGTAATATCTTTTTTATGACTTTTATATCAAATAATGATTACAGCAGGTTAGATTCATTTTACACGTGCATGGCAAAAGAATTAAGACTGAATCGGTAATGTTAATACAGTTGTAGTATAATTGACTTTCAAAAGATGGCAGTAAAAAGTAAAGTTACCAATAATGTAAGGTTCCTACATAGCCGGACTCATTTCTAACACCATCTACCATACAAATAATTTCATGTCATATGAAATGGTATTCTTTGATTTGTGACATAAATGATATAAATCTAGTTTCTCCTCATTTCTAAACAGAATGTAAAAAAATTTGAGGGACGTGTTCAGGAGGTTCTAAAGAATATTAGTCTGGTCCTTATATTATCCAAATCGTCAAAAACTTATAAAATATTGAAATTGCTGTTTGTCAACGGTCAAGAAAATGGCGGATCGGAATCACATACATTGATTTATTCGTAATATAAACATTTCTGTAAATCGTATGTCCAAATAGGGATCAGACTGATATTCTTTGGGTCGGATAGAATAAAACGAGTACCCAAGGGATGATGTACAAGTCTCCAGGTAGAAGTAATTTGAAAACTACGATTTCGTTGATTGTTCACTCGCGAAAGACGTCAACAAGGTAAAACAGACCAGAAATTTTGTTTCTCGTTCATTCTGTAGGGCGCAGTTCGTTCGTTTGATTAATAAACAATTGTAAAATTAAAAATAATAAAATAATTTTTAATAGAATAATTAAACAAAATTTTGCAATATACCCACGCAGAAATGTAAAGAAATAAACAATTTAAATAGATATAACAATAATTTGATTAATAAACAATTGTAAAATATAAAATAATAATTAAACAAATATTAACAAATATCAGATAGAAATAGTTAAATCTGCGGAACCGGTGAAGCGGAACGTCGCTTGATTGCGCGCGCCGCGCGCCGGTACAAGCGCGACCTCGCGAGAGGTCAAATCTAATCAGTCTTATCGCGACCGCCGAAGGATACGGATGGAGCTGCCAAACATATACCGGTACGGGTTGACACTATGGATATTCGTGCATGGATTTATCAGTGTGTTACCACAAGTGTTTTTATGTGTGCCTATGGTGTTTCCTATAGTGTTTCCCATGTGTTTTGGAATATTTATACGGATATATTAGTGCGACTTATGGTGTGGTCACCCATGTGTTCTGACATTTTTATACAAGTGCATTAATGTGCTGTGTGGTGTGGTACCCCATGTACCTGCATGTGCTTTATTGTGTTTTATGGTGTGGTTTCCTTCGTGCTTTGGCATATATTTACGGATTTATTAGTGGGTTTTATGGAGTGGTACCCTATGTGTTTGGGCATATTTATACGGATTTATTAGCGGGTTTTATGGAGTAGTAGCCTTTGTGTTTTGGCATATTTATACGGATTTATTAGTAGGTTTTATGGATTGGTACCCTATGTGTTTTACTATAATTTTGCAAATATTTTATAGTGTTCTATGGTTTTGATCTTCGAGTGTTTTGGGATGTATTTGCATGTGGTTTACCGTGTTTTATGGTGTAGTTATTCCCATATAGTTTTGCATGCATATTTTTAAATTATCCTATGTATTAGCATATTAACTACAACAAATTGAGAGAAAACATATATCGTTCAAGAATCGTGATTTTTATGCTTTCAGATGAATGCTTTGGCCAGTGGGGATACCGTTTCTTTGACGCGCCAACAGACGAGCTAATAAGATGCGTGGCGAGTGCAGTGGTGCAAGTCAACGATTGGTGAGTCGCATGCTTTAAAGTTCCTCCGGTTCCCATCATGTCGTAGGACGAATGGTCCGTAGCGACACGGGAATTGGTTGTAATTTTTATTTTTTGAGCGAGCATAGTGACCCACGAATATCACTGTATCATTTTATACAATGATAATCGTGCAAATTGCTTTTTTGTGTATTTTATGCCTTAGCTCAGGATAGGGGTTTCTTGTACATATTTACATATATAGATTTCGAGTTTAAAAATGTAGAGAAGTCGGATGACCCTCCGACTTCACAATACACTTTCTTTTTTATATGTACAAGAATTTATTTCGCGATGAGCGGATTTTTTTATCAAAGTAACAAGCATGAATACTATTAATTATTATAACTACTTACTTTGATAACAAAATCGCTCTTGAAATTGAAACGTTTTTCCGATTTTACTTGTGAAATTGGCATCAGTTTAGTATATGGGCTGGCCCCCAGGGGGGTCGGTATTTGCTCTTCAAGCATTGTATAAAGTTCCCCTTTCGTATTTGAAATTCATTCTGTCACGTTCACAATTCTCGACCCTAAACACTCATCATTCACACTTCAGCCTCGCGAACTCTATCACATAATCATTTATCCACCCGCATACTCTAGTGTAGTGAAATATTACCCCATTAGGATTTTCAAGTTAAAGTAGTGTTGCGAAAAATTTTCAACGCGAGAATAAATATTACCCCGTTAGGATTTTCATGTTTAAGTAGTGTTGCGAAAAATTTTAAACACGAGAGTAAATATTACCCCGTTAGAATTTTCAAGTTTAAGTAGTGTTGCGAAAAATTTTCAACGCGAGGGTAAATATTACCCCGTTAGAATTTTCAAGTTTAAGTAGTGTTGCGAAAAATTTCCGGCGCGAGAGTAAATATGACTATACACTGACTAGTATTCGGTGGGAATCCTTTTGGTTTTTATTTGATAAAATTAGTTATAAGGATTCCGCGGCATAAGACCGTGAACACCACCTCATGGGAGATAAAACCATGCATTACTAGGCCTTTTCAGGCACAGCCATAGAGT